CTGTCATCAACGTGTCAGGGTGACCGATATGCGGAACGGGAAAGCGAACGGTCCCGTGGCGTGGCCGTCCCTTGGCATGCATCGCTTCTGTCATCTCGGTTGATGAAAGCACGATGATGGAGACCAGGGTAGAGGCCGGAACCGTCGCCAGCAAATGACGGTCGTCGTTCGGTGGCTGTCGTTAGGTCGTCATCACGGCTGTCAGCCGCCCGACTACCGTCACCACGTACACAACACCCGGCTTTCGCCAAGTGACCACCGCGGCTGGTCATCGCATAGCTGGCCGGCCAGCTGTCTGTGTAACAAAGGCGGCTACGACGACGGTCGTCAGTGACCACACCACCTACCGCCAGTTGTCACCTCGGCCGGTGATGGACCACCACCTGACCACCACTATGCACCAGCACTGTGATCGTCCCACGTCCCGCGGCCCTCTGCCTCGGTACCGCCAAACCGTTGCGTCCCCCCGCTGGGAGTAACGACGACAACGGTTCGGTCCGGTCGGGCCGGGCCGGGTATTTCCAGCCAACGCTTCCTCCCGCGACGACTCTTTTTCCACTTGCATCAATGTCACGGTCGTCGTAAAAATTCCAACGCTAATTTTTGTGACAATTTCATCACGTTTAATGCTAGCTTTTGATCAATCAATCCGTCCCTCCTGAACTTGCGCTGATTTTGGTCATTGGCAATACGGCACTTACGGCGAGCGTGTAGCAGATGGAGAAGACGTGAAAAATGGCCAGAGTGCTCTAAGTCAAAAAGAGGCGAGAGATCTTGCTAGACGAACCTGGCCCACATCCATAATCAGCTTTTGCAGACTGGCTAAAGGTAAAGTTTTTATTCGACCGGTGGTCAGGTCCCAATTGTCCTTCAACCAGCAGACCAGTGTTTAACGCCAATCTGATTTATAATCACAACTTACATAATGAACGCCTAAAAACTTTTAATAGCCTCAGATTATCACAGTCCTCGTAAAAACACCTCTTATTCAATACAATCCTCGG